ATTCCTGCAGGCACATGTTTCATGGGGGAACTTTGCCACTATTGTTATGGTTTTGCCCCAAAGGAAAGTACTTTTTCAACGCAATGTAGCATTGTTATCACCCAAACCAACCATTCAGTTTGCATAGGGCTTTCCTTAAAAGGTTTGAGAGAACACATTTACTGGACACACTTACTAGACACTCCAGTGCAACCCCTGGTGTTTGTTACGAGGATGACTTGCTCCTGGGGAGAGTTTTGCTTTCAGCTTGATCAGTTCAGATGGATTGCATAGTCCCATGCAGTGCAGACAAAGTGGAGTTAGAGCTTTCAGCTGAGGTACCCTGCATACACCTTACACAGTTTAGGCAAAATGAGCTTAGTCCCATGGTAATGCTCAGTAGTCAATCCCCTCTCATGCTGAGATACACCAGTACAAATGAGATTGAGATTTTTCTCAAAGATGTAGTTATTGGAGTTATAGATTCTCCTTCTCCTTGTCATGCGCTCTGTAGGTCTTTCTCTGTGGGTATCAAATCCCAATCACACAGTGTAAGCTTGTTTGTTACGCAGGACAGCAAGCATTGGCCTCCAGGGGCTCTGCAGGACAAACCCTACTGCACACCCACACATCTTCCTGCTAGTTCCATTTTCCTTGAGCTTCTCCACAAGGGTGCAATCTGCAGAGAAAACTAAAATTAGCTTGACAGTTGCAAAAATTAGGATATAAAGAGGATCCTTTTGCGATTGAGCCTTGCTATTTACCGTGGAAGAAAACATCTTCATTTACTTCTTTCACACTTCACATGGACAAGCATTCTGCTACAGCTCTCCTGTGCACACTTAATGCTCCCAGGAGGAAAACAGGCCCTTCTGGGGAACAGTTTCATAGCTTCCTAAACAAGGTGTCAAAGAGGTCTGGGGGAAATGGCCCTCCAGGGTGCTCTTTTTTCCCCGTTGACTAGAGAGGACAAAGTCAGACAAGAGTTTCAGGTGATGAACTTTGGTTGAGCAGGATCCCAGGGCCATTGCTCTCTCTGATCCCACTCACATGAGTGTGACACCCCATTCGGATCCTCCAGGGCTCTCAGCGACTTCCTTGTTGAGGGGCTTCTCAGCTGATGTCCCTGGTGTTGGGGTGGCTTTGGAATGAGCTTCATCTCCCCTTCCTTTGAATGTCTACAAAGCATGCATCTCACTAGAGTTGTTGCTTTCTCTTCGTTGGCTGGAGGGAGCGTCTGGACAACAGACATCCCTATGCTGGCCTGCAGTCCAGATGGCAGGAGTTAAATGAGGTCAATCCACTCTGTAAAACTCTCCTTGTGGTCAGGCCAGGCCCTACACAAGTCCATACAGGGAAGTACTCACTTGCCCAGTGGCTGTGTTTTGGAGGTTGATGCAGAAGGTCTGCTGTGCCTCATGCTATTGACTGACTACCGTCTCTGACTTGCAGGTGGTCACACAGCCTAGCCTTGAGCTGCGGCTGAGCCAAGAAAATCTTCAGGTGCTCCTTCAGCAACACTGCAAAGGCAACTCAGCGCCTCCTTCAACAACACACAGTCAGGCTGTGCTCTGCCCAGGTTGAGATGGATGAGGGCCCATTTCTTCTGGTATGAGCAAACGCTTTCATCCCCTCAGTGGCCTGTTCCCAGGCTTTTGGGTCCTGGTTTCAGTATACCAAGGAGCATGGGCCTTTCCTTCCCCTTGTGCGTGAGTTGTCCTGAGGAATGTGAAAGGCAGGTGCAGCTGTAGCAGCGTGAATGTGCCTCACCTTGATAGGCAGTGCCTTTGGGTGGCTGAAGCGAGGCGCTTCACCTGGTCCCTCTAGTGGTTACTTGGAAGATGTGTGTGTCTCCCTGCTGCCTGCACCCTTTGGGTCCTTCGCAACTTTCGACTTAACTATGGGAACAGATACTGTTGACCTCATCCCTCTTCACCAAGGGAATAGCCCCATTACAGTCATCTTGCCTGAACTGCTGCAGAGACGTGGACTCCCCTTTCCAGTGCTGTCATAGTGGGCAAAACTGTGACTTGGCCAACCACTGGAAAGGTTTGAATGGAAATCAACTGCTCTCCCACAGTGGAAGGGATTCAGTCAGTGGACTTGTCTAGTACTTGGGAGCTGTGGATAGAGTGTGGATAGGAATCCACCTGGATCACTGCAAGGTCCTGTGCAGGTCAGATAAAAGTCACTAAGTTTTAGATGCCTAATAGGAGCGTGAGTCTATGGTTATTGTTTAAGTTCTCTTCATAAGCAACAAAGAGAAATAAGTACCTCCTCAGAGCACCTTGTCTGCTTGTTTAGCAGAGGGTGAATTGCTCTCCAAGTGCTTTTTTCTGTCCAGTGGCCACCAAGGGACAAGCTCAGAGGCAGGATGGAGATTCATGGGTACCTGAGGGCAACCTAAGTGTCCACTGCTGATAAATGCATTAGGTCAAGATAAGGTTTGTATATGCAGGGCTGGAAAATGATGACCTGAAAAACTGTTTTGACCTTGCAGCCACTGTGAGTCCTCTGGGCCTCCTTTTCCAATGAGCCTTCTATTTTCCCTCCCCATCCAGACAGCAGCAGAGATACGAAATAATCCCAGTCTATAGTCAACTCTTAGCAGTGGAAGGATCACACATTTGATCTGCTCCTCTGTTGTCGGCAGGATGCAGCTGATAAATCTTGAAATCTCCTTACCCTCTCCAGCTTTCTGCTATTTGAAATGTATACTCACAGTGAGTGGGAATATGAACCTTGTTTTCTTAAAGAGACATTGCCAGGGAGGTGAGGATGCTCTGGTTACTACTGAGCTACAATGTTTCTTAAAGCATTTTGTAGAGGAAACACAGATATTCCTGAGGGTGGAGAAGGAGACTGAGCAAGATGTTTTACCATAGATAAAAACAGTCTCCTCTGAGAAGACAACCCAATCACTGATATATTTTTCCTTTAACATTAGCACCAGGATGAACAGAGACTGACCAGAAAGCTACTATATACAGTGAATGAAAAACAACTCCTTGGAGTGGAACCTGAAATGTTTAGGTAGGCTGCTCAGCACAGGTATTCCTTGTTTGCAAGGTATTCCATCGCCACCAGTGGAGAAGAGTGAAACATTTTTGTTTTGATTTGTTATAAGCTAGGAGTCTGATTCGTAGGGCACGTAGGAACTCTTGAAGGAAAGTTGCTAGTGCTTGCCTTTAGGCAGAAGCACAGAAGAGATCATTTTCAGAGTGCATCTACTGCAGTGTAAGTTGGCTGCCAGCAGAGAAAGCAAGTCCCGCTTGTCCTCCTTCCCCAGCTGCACGTTCCTGCCACTCTGCGTGTGTCAGATCTAGTGATTGTGCAGTTGCAGGAGGGGTTAGATAAACGAGCTGATCCGACAGAAAACTACGCTGCCTGAAAAGTGACTCACCCTCCGTTGGCGTGGCCGATTTCCCTGTGGTGGCACATGGCAGGGCCATTTGGTGGCAGCCTGAAGTTACTTCTCATTACTCGGTGCATGAAATCACAACCTAAGGATGGGGGTTTGTCCAGTTGTAGCTGTGGGCTGTAGTGGGGAGGGGTGGTCATGCTTCTGGTCACACAGTTCTGCCCCCTTAACTATGGGAACAGACACCACTGGCTTCATCCCTCTTTACCAAGGGAATAGCCCTGTTACAGCCATCTTGCTTGAATTACAGCAGAGACATTTCTATGGAGGATGACTGGAAGATGCATACAGGGTCTAGGTCCAGCTAGGCTGTTGTTTAGGCATGCCTTGGCCTTTGTATTTGTGTCCTGGGGTCCCCAAGAGAAGAAGCCTTCCCTGGTCAGAGGCAAGGTGCAATACAGAGGGATGTAGTGACCCCGCGTAATGTGAATCTGTGGTCAACTGAACTCTACTGCGCTTGGGATGGTGTCGTGCACTGAACACAAACAAAAGAGCTGAAGCAAATGTGTGCAGGGCAGAGGAGGTATTGAACAAATGTCATCACTTTGTTTGCTGTCCATCTTCAGGTCCTATGGGCACCCAGCCTCCTGTGGGAGAGGGATTTACTCTTTGATCTGGCTGATTTCTGAGTCTACTGCTGGGGTGAGCACTAGATAGGTCAAGGCAGCAACTTGCATGCAAAGATGTGCCTATGAAGGCCAAGCATCCACTGCATAGCCCTTACATGTCAAACCAGCTGACTCTCAACTTTACAGCCAGAAGCAGTAGCCGACACTCTGACTAAGTTTGATGTTTCATGGGGAAAACTCTTACATTGCTTCTGCCCTCCTCCTAGCGAGCAGATTAACATCCCACAGTAAACATTAATCATGCAGTTAAAAGAAACCCAGTCCTCAGTTTTCATTTTCACGTATGATTAACATCTGCAGCCTCATAAAATTATCTTTGTGGTTGGGAATGTAAGCACGTGCCCATTTCTCAATAGGGATACCCCATCAGACCTATGGGAAACTCAAGATAGTGCTTCTAGTAAGGAATTAGAGAAGCAGAAGAGCCTGCTTTCTCTTTATGGCTAAAAGCATGTGCAAGAATGTTTGCGTTATGTAGTGCAGCCACAGCCACATCCCTTACCCTTCTGGGAGGGGAGGAGGCTCTGACAGCACTGCAATAGCTTCCCTCAATGTTTTCAGCGCTGTAAGAAGCTAAAAGGCTGTGTGGTACTTCCCACACCCTTAAGCATGTGGCTCCTCCCCTTGGCATCCTTCTTCCTCTGTCTCCCCATCCAGCTCCCTATATATTTGAACCCCTGCAGAGCTGCATCTTCTTGCTTGACTTGCTCCTACTAGGCACAATGCAGGCGGGACCATCTCTTTCCGCTTCTCATCAGCTGCTGAGACCCAGCCCGACCTCCAGCACAGGTAAGAAATCTCTCCCTTGACTGCAACCTGCTCTCAAGAGGAGAAGGCTTGGGACTGATCAGTGACTTGCTGTCTACTGGCTGTGGGCTCTGCTCTGGAGTCCTCATAAACGCTTCCTGAGCTGGGTCTTGTGATTGTGTTACTGTGACACCTAGACTGCATAAAATTTAAAAAAAAAAAAAAAGTGGGGCTGAACGTGCTATTTTCTCTAGCCAGAAAAGGGTTTCTTTTCTCAAGCTACTAAAAGTGCCAGGAAGTGTTTAGGTAGCCTGAATATTAAAAGCGTTCTGAGCTATTCTCTCATTTATTTATCTAAAACTTGTACTCATTGTACAAGCTGTACTTGTTATACTCAAAGGTACCATGGCAGGGAGTCTTTGGTGTAGTTTCATTTTGATGGGTTTTTTTTTTTTTGCAGGAGTCATTTAAGGGGAAAGGAGAAGAAAGCTGGAGGGATGGTTTCTCAGTGCTTCAGGTGGTACATTTCCTTGAAGGAACCCACACCCACTGGTGTCTTGTGCCTTTCACAGAACATACTGTCCTCAAACACTGTGGGAGAAAAACCTTAAAAAAAAAAGTCATACAGTTTAACTGGGAGTTTTACTCCCTTCCCTCAGGCCTGCCATCAAAAATGGGGGAAAGTTACCCTTTTGGTGGTGGGGGTTGTTTTTTTAAGAAGCTCTCCCTTTCTTCTGTATTAAGGACGGTTTTCTCAGCAGCTGTAAAGTCCTTTGGAGAATGAGCCAGGCAGGGCTCAAAGCACCCCAGAGACACCCACAGCAGCATGATGGGGGTTCAAGAGCTTAAGGGACCCCCAGGACAGTATTAGGGGCTGGCAAGGAGGCTGAGACCTTGAGCACTGAATTACTTGGGTGGAGTCAGGCCTCTTCTTATGGGTTTTCTATGGGAAAGCTTTGCATTAATGTCCCCAAACCAAAGCACAGCAAAGTGTGGCTGTCCCCAAGACAGTCAGGAGGCGCTACAGAGCAGAGCCCAGGAGCCAGTTCTCTCCCTCCAGGCCCCTCAGTGAGGGGATGCTGTCTCCCCACCACAATGTGAGCACCTCGAAATAGCTGCTTTACATGCTCTCACAACATGGCCCTTGAAGCATGAGGCAGGCATTGCAGGGGTAGGACCCAAATTTCAGCAGATGAAGGTCAGATATCTGCATCTGAGCTCGATTCCTCATCAGTCCTGGTGAAGCCCAGGAAGGACTTGCCTTCTCTGACCATCGTTTGCTTTGCGTCTGTCTGTAGAGGGTTGGTCATGTTATGGATGTGGTGTTGGACAGTGGGGTTGAGCACTCGCTGAGCTAATCCAGAGTTCTCTCCATTTGGGGGTGCTCCCCTTTGGGAAGGGGGCTCCTTTCCACAGACCGGGAGCGTGTGTAGCTCTTACTGCAGCTATTAGGATGTGGGGCTACCACCTGGGCCTGCAGTGTCTCCAGCAAGGCACCCAAGGCCGGTGTTTTCTTTGCAAAATGGGCATTAAAATAACTTGGTGTCATCTAATTTTTGCTTGGTTTTGTTTTTCTCCATGCAGAAAAATGTGGAGCATGTGGTCCGGGCTTCGCCTCCCCTCTGGAAGCTATGAAAGGCAAGTCTGAAATCCAGGGCACCCAGGGAAGAGCCCTGAGCTGTCTGCAATTTAGTCAAAGATTAAAATAATGCATTCAAGAGGGCATTATCAGTTAACTCCACTCTTGAGGGGGGCTCCCTGCAAGTGTTAGGAAAAGGATGGTTTTGCATCTGGCCTGTCCTGGGGCTGAACATCAATTGCATAATGACAGCTTGGTGTCAGAGCAAACCCTTTTAGGTTTCATGATGGCTTGGGACGGGTCACAACCCGCAGCAAACTCACTTGTGGCTTCACTGCGCAAAACCATTGGGATTTTAAGCTTCTCACAGGCAGTGGTACCGTAACAGCCCTTTGACACCACCACTGGGAGCTAAACCCACTTGGATGTCCAGGGAATAGGCAGGGCTGGAGAGGAAGCGGAGACCATCCTAATTTCTCTGAGGTCCCTCAGGAACATAGCATTACACTCTGCTCCTGATGGCTGGAATCACAACATGACAGAGTCTCCTTTTATATAAACCAGCCTCACAGGCTGCTTCCTCAACCATTTGGGCTCTTTGCCTGAAAATACCTCTTGCTGCATTGCCAGAATACTAGTGCTGTAATGTCAAGAGATCAATAACTGCAACATCTCCCGCTACCCATCCCTTAATGAACTTCTCTGGGGTTTAGCAAACATGCCCTTGAAACACTTGCCTCTGGTCTTAGAAAGCTCTGGAGTTTTCTTGGAACTACTCCCAAACTTGCGTGATGAAGCACCTTTAAACGGTCCCCCTGGGGTTGAGGATGATGGGGAAAGGCAGCTTCCCATGCCTGCCTGCACTGCAGAATGGGCAGCCCACTCTTTTTGTGGCCACGTTTTCCCAAGCTCTTTCAGCATGTTCTTTCAGATCGATTCCTTCTTCTCTGGGGACCAGTCTCTTATGACCCGATTAGGTGACTCTTGCTCTGGGAGACTTTGTGCCTGTCCCAGGCAGAAGTTGCCTGGGGCTGAGCCTGCCCTGACATCTCCTTTTGGTCTCCCAGTGGTAGCAATACCATCCATTAGTCAAGGAAGCACCTCACACAGTGCTGCCTCGGTCTCAGCCAGACACATCCCAAGGCTCTTCACTGATGATCTCTGTGTTCCCAGCTGGCTCTGTTTTACGTATTTCACTTCTCAGTGCAGTCCTTCTGGCAGGTCCTTGCTCTGTTTGGAGGGTAGGGACCTAGTTGTGACCATGTCCTTGGGGCGAGCTGCCCTCTGCCAAGCAAAGCCCATTGTATTCCCTCAAAACCTCTTTGCACTTGCCTGCTGAGCTCATCCTGAGACATCCTGGTCCATGGTTCCTGTTCCTGAAATGTCACGAAGCAGGCAAATGACAGTGAACAGCTGAGTCTTTAAAACATCCCTGGGTGTTGGCAGGGCTGGACCACAATTTAAATTAATAGCAAATAGCACAAATTCCACTGACTCTGCTACTCTGACAAATTCCCTCAAGACTTTTGAGGTTCAGCCTCTATCTGGTTGTTTTGTGGCGCTGAGTAACTCTGGCATCCGTAAAGCTCTACCGCGCAGCCAGCTGTGGGATCAGCTTCCCAAGCAGGCGATGACAAGCTCCTCGGTGTCTGTCGAACACCTTAGGAAGGGGTCTGGGATGAGAGCTTTTATAAAGGCATCACGTCGAAAAGCCAGCTAATGGCTTTGCTCTGCTTCAGATCATATCTGAAGGTTCCAGTTCACCTCTCTCCTCCTCAGCACTTTTTAAACCAGATCTTCCCCCCTAGTTCTTGCTTTGGCAGTACTTCATCCCACATACATACACCCACGAGCAAATACCACCTCCCCAATGGCAAGGCAACCGTGGGAGACTGAATGCCCTTGCTGGAGGGCTGGGCAGTGCTTGGAGCAAAGCTATTTTGTAATACAAACTGCTAATCGTCCCTTCTATGGTCACCCAAACGGGAGGAGCGTGTGCAACGCTGCAGTGGCCGCTGTTCAGAGATGAAGGGCTGTGGTCAAGCAGGATCACAAGCAGAGCTCTCCTGCACTGCTGCCTTGTGGTAGATTTGCACCACTCAGTACAACAGTGCTGGAGTTATTGGGACTTTTTGCCTTTGACTTCAGTGCTGGCAAGCCTTTACCTTAGCCCTTCTCATGTATCTTTAAGGCTTCTCCTGGACCTGTGTAGACATGATGGAAGTAAGACATGACATGGTTTCATTTGTGGAACCAATAGGCTGGCATGTCCTCACAGTCACAGGGCAATCCCAAAGCTGTGGCTTTCTTAGAGACTTGGAGGAGATCTGGAGATCCAGGATCCGGAGATCCCTTCCAAGGGCAAGAACATCCTAAACCGAATGAGTCCAAATCCCCATGGGGCAGCCCCCTCCAAAGCAAGCATAGCCCAGTGCCTCTGGCGCAGTGCAGACCTACACATCCAAATGCCTCATGTGTGCCCAAGGGAGCCCACTGGCTCCCCGCAGGGAGATCTGGTCTGGCCAGTGACTCCTGCAAGACTTTTTTTTTCCTGCTGGACTTGGTTTCTGCTGATGTTCAGAGTTTCTATGTTGACAGGTCCCCGGGAGGAGATTGTGTATGTGCCCTGTATCTACAGGAACACCGGGAGGAAGAAACCAGACTTTCTGGCCACTGTGGATGTCAACCCTAAATCTCTGCACTATTGCCAGGTACCAAACCTCTTATCTCATTGCTAAACTAGCCTGGTCAGATGGCAGCACACCAGCAAAGGGAAATATTTCAGTGCTCATCCCTCACGTTCCCCAAAGTTGCTGGCTCAGTCCTGAAGCTGATGCCTGCCTTCCTCTTCCCAAGACTCTGAGCCTTCCTGTGCTTTGGAAATGTATGTAAAATCCCCTTTACAGCCCAAAGAGCCCTTGCGCACCACTGCTTACCTCCATAGGGTCAGGCTTGCCTGAGGCATCCTGATGCTTTGGCAGATGCCCTGAGCCCCCTGGCCAAGCTGCAAGCCAGCACTGTGCAGGAGAAAGCCCAACGTGTTCCTGGTGTAACTAGGACTTGGACTTTGCAGGTGATCCACCGCCTGCCCATGCCCAACGTGGGCGATGAGCTGCACCACTCAGGCTGGAATGCCTGTAGCAGCTGTTTCGGTGATGCCACCAAGACACGCAATCGCCTGATCCTTCCCAGTCTCATTTCCTCCCGCATTTACATAGTGGACGTGGGAACCAACCTGCGAGCTCCCAGGCTTTATAAGGTACCTTGGAGGTGGCACCAATGTGTGTTAATGGCTAGAGGATGGGGATTGTGGCTTCCCGCTGGGGTAATGGCTTGAAGAGGCTTTGGGGTACACCTAAGAGCTTGGCAGCATGCTGACATCTAAATGGCAGTACGTGAAGGCTGGGGAAGGTGGTTGCTCTCCTGCTGATGTGCAAATGATTGAGTTCTCCATCGAATTCCTGGGGATAGCCCAGGCTGTGACAGTGCGTGTGAACTTTCCTGCAGGTCATCAACTCCGAGGATGTGTTCTGGAAGTGTGACCTGGGTTACCCGCACACATCCCACTGCCTGGGCAGCGGGGAGATCATGATCAGCACCCTGGGGGACCCAGCAGGCCGCGGAAAAGGTACCCTTCTTCCTACAATCCCGCAGAAGAGGATGCCGAGGCAGGAAAAACACCTGCACCCAGTGGCTGTCCTGGAGACCTCATGCAGGACTCCTTCTCCTGTTTTTCAGACTGCTCTGAAATGAGTCAATCTGTTTGTCTTACAGCACTTAAACTGTTAGTCCGCATGATTTCCTCACTGCCAAAAATGTTTTTGTTTTTGCATCAGGTGGTTTTATTCTGCTGGATGGAGAGACCTTTGAGATCAAGGGGAAGTGGGAGAAAGGAGACAAGACACCCCCGATGGGTTATGACTTCTGGTACCAGCCACGCCATAATGTCCTGATAAGCACTGAATGGGGAGTCCCAAAATACCTGGGATATGGGTTTGACCCAAATGATCTGAAGAAAGGTGAGAAAATATTTGTTTAAATACTCCAAGAGACAGATGCTGAGCAGGACTTCAGTAAGGCCAAACTTCAATCCACGGCCTTTTCTGTTGCTAGTGAAAGCTGAAAAACTAAAGGGTATAGATAAAATTGTCCAAGACTGTTTGCAAAACCAATTTCACGCTAGTTCCTAGAGATCACATAGATTTAAAAAAGAGAAGCCCAGCCCATTTACCATGAATATTTCAGTTGCAAACTCCAGTTCAACTCAAGACAGCCCATAAATGCTGCCATCGAGTTGCACTTGGTGTTGAATTTTGGCTGTAGTGATGAAGAATGGAGCCCCATCAAAGCCCAGCTCACCCCCAAAGTTATACTGCCTTTCCCAGCCCAAAAGTAACTGACTGTGCCAAGATGACAACTCTGCAGATGGCCTGGCCCTGTCCCCCGCTTGAGACCCTTCACCTTGCAGATCCCCTCTGACCCCACTCTGTCTTCCTCCCTTGCAGGGCGCTATGGCTGCCGCCTCAATGTGTGGGATTGGACCACCCACACCTACATCCAGGCCATCGACGTGGGGGAGGATGCAGCGCCCCTGGAGATCCGCTTTCTCCACAACCCTGATGCGGCTGAGGGCTTTGTGGGCTGTACCATCAGCAGTGCCATCCATCGCTTCTACAAGACCGAGGTACATGCTGTACATGCTCCCACAGGGAGACAATGGAGTTGGTTGAAAAAATCAAAAAGATGAAAAGGCAGGTCCACGCGGCAGTGGCTCCCGGTTACATGAGCCACACACCTCTGCAGAGCACCATATGTCCCACATTAACGTCTTCCATAGCCCTGCTCCTGTGCATACAGCCTCTCCGTCCCTTACAACAACCCATTGGCAGGTTGTTGTAAATGCACACAACCTTCAAAACTTTAGCTGGCTTGGGATAATCTCACCAGAGAACTTGTTCTGGTTGGCAGTGATTCATGCTGCAATGATTTCCTTGGAAAGAGATTTATATATACCTTTGTAGTGGGTTTATAACAGCTTAAGCAGTGTTGAGCCACTATTCTTCTAAAAGTCTGTTGTGTGTAATGACAAATCGTGTAGGCAGAGAAAATACCTTTCACCATACCAGCTAGGCTAGCTGGAAAATCAAGTTTTCAACCTCCAAAGCCCTTTGTCAGGTCCTGGAGCCTCTGTTCCTGATGGCTCTTAAGAGATTAGGATTTCTGCAGCCAGCAAAGCAGCTGAGCTACAGCCCTGGTCACAAGCGGTGCTGACCATGGGGCAAGCAGCGTCTGCGCTGAGCATCGCGCCTCGTCCGGCCTTCATCCCCTGCACTGAGCTCTGTCTCATGCCTTCTGCAGCAAGGAGACTGGGCAGCAGAGAAGGTGATCCAGGTCCCCAGCAAGAAGGTGGAGGGGTGGCTTCTCCCAGACATGCCAGGTGCGGTGAGATGTGGTCCCTACCATTGCGGGCTTCATTTGCTGCCAGCTTGTTTTGTGACTCTGCCATGCCCTCCCGCAGGCTTCATCACAGACATCCTCATCTCACTGGATGACAAGTTCCTGTATTTCAGCAACTGGCTGCATGGGGACATCCGCCAGTATGACATCTCTGACACCTGCAAGCCTCGGCTGGTGGGACAGGTAGGCCAGCATCAGGCTGTCTCCTATTGCTTTTCCTCTTGCAGGAGGGTGTGATGAGCCCCGCTCCAATCTTCTGGCTGTCCTTTTGGCTGCCCAAACCTTGGCTCTGCTTCCAGGTCTTTGTGGGAGGCAGCATCAGTAAAGGTGGGCCAGTGACTGTGCATGAAGATGAAGAGCTGCAGAGCCAGCCGGAGCCATTTCTGATCAAGGTGAGTTGAGTTGCCCCTCCTCCAACAGCATGTTGCCATCCATGCCCTCCGCTCAATCCTGTCTCCCCTCCGATACATGAGCACCAACTCCGAGCCAGCACGTTGGGTGGTGACAATGCACAACGAAGACACCCTGCTGGGGTTTCTGCTGTGCCAGGTCCCCCAGGAAGACCATGCAGGCAGGTAATTGCGTGCTGGCAGCACATCTCATTCTCTATGTACTTCCAGGGCAAGAAGGTGGCTGGAGGACCTCAGATGATCCAGCTCAGCTTGGATGGGAAGAGGCTGTATGTCACGACATCCCTCTACAGCGCCTGGGACAAGCAGTTCTACCCCGACCTTGTCAGGTAGGAGACAGCGTGGGGAGCCGATATTTGGACGCTCATTAGATACAACCATGAGCGTTGACTGCCCAGGGCTAGTGGACATCTGACTTCAGACACCAGCATTTGGGCCACCCACTCTACACAGCTCGTCCCAAATCTGGGCTGAGATGTGGCAAGAGGAGCCATGCGGCCCTGATGGACCCAATTCCCCCCTCCATATGCGCTCTCTCGTCCCCACACAGGGAGGGCTCTGTCATGCTGCAGCTAGATGTGGACACGGAGCAGGGTGGCCTGGCCATCAACAAGAACTTCCTGGTGGATTTTGGGAAGGAGCCCGAGGGACCCTGCCTTGCTCACGAAATCCGCTACCCCGGCGGGGACTGCACCTCCGACATCTGGGTATGAGCACCCCAAGGACCGTGCAGGAAGGGGTGCCGGAGCCCTTAGAGCAGCAGCGTCCCGTGTCTCAAAAAATCTGAGAATTTGCATAGGCGCCAGGCAGTGACTTCAGGTTTCAAAATAAAACAGCCAAGCTGTCCTCTGCACTCATAGTTCACCTCATCTCTAGTTTCACTCGGTCCTATGTATTCAGGAGTCACAAAGCAACTGCGTGGGAAAATCAGAGCCGCTAAAATGACCTCAAAGGAAAAAAACATGGGGGGATGGGGAAGGGCAGCGGGAAAGAGGCCAGAGAGAGGGCTGGTGGGCATGGAGATGCTTTCCTCTGGCTGCCAGTTTTCCTCAGGCCATTGCAAGAGGCCAGTGACCACAGAGCAGGAGCCAAGAGAATGGGGAGCTGGAAACGCCACCAACCCTGGTCTCTGGCTTTTGGGGTGCCAGCAAGGGAGAGGCAGTGGCCGTTCCCATAGAGCCCGGTAGCGCGTGGCTGGAGGGGCCACGGCAAGAAATGGCCTCCCCAGCTCCTTCCCCAAGGCTGCGTGCCTGACCACGTACACTGTTTATGCACACACACACGCTGCGTGCATGCTGCATGCACACAAGGCACACGCATACACAGGCACTGCAGGCCCACTCCACATGTTGCATACTACATGCACACACTGCTCGTGCAAGCACTGTGCATATACACTGCACACACATGCACACACGACACTGCATGCACATGTGCACATAGCACCCACACATTGTGTGCACACACTCTGCACACAAATACACTGCATGCAGATGCACGTGCACACACATACTGGGTGCACACACACAACTCCCTGCACACAACCACCTTGTGACCCATGCGCACACATACTACTGGCATGCGCGCACATTGCACACAGTCTACGCACACACGCCTACACTGCGCACTCACTGCACGCACACTGCACACACACTGCACGCGCACACAGCCGTTTACACTTGCGCTTCCTCTTCCA